TCGGAACAGACATGCTGCCAGCTTCCTGGGAGTGTAATAATTATAATATTATTAGTTAATACTAATTATTCCCTATGGGCCAGACATCAACCTAAGATTCCGTGTATTAATACATTGATTCAGGTAACAACACTTAAAATAGATATGATTAAAATTCCCATTTTTGCAGTTAAGGAAATTGAAGTAGAAAGAAAAAATAACTTGCCAAGATCCCACAGGGAGTGGAGCCAGGATTTGAACCTAATCATTTATGAGCCAGGCTCTATTCTAGGTATCAGAGGTAGAACAAGACAAAGTCCCTGCCATATTAGAGGAACAGACAATAAATGAACAAACACATGCTATAGTTTTGGCTAGAAATGCCATTTAGACAAGCAAAGCAGAGTTAAGGACCAGCGAGGGGCATTTTAGATGGACTGGTCAGAGAAGGTGTTCTTGGTAGATGGCATTTGACCAAAGAGTTGAATATGTGAAGGAGCAAGTCATGCTGAAGGTTGGGGAAACAGTAAGTGCAAAGGTCCTGAGGTGGAGATGAGCTTGAGGTGTTAGAGGAACAGCCAGACATGCACTGCGGCTGGTGTGCAGGGAGCCAAGGCGCCAGGCCACAGCAGCGTTTGGAGAGTAGGTAGAGATGGTGAAGGGAGAGGACCCATCCACAGCAACACCTGGGCTCAGCCTCTTATGGTCTCTCAGCTTCTTTAAGATATTGCTCATCTTTTTCCACCTCCCCGCAGAGTTCTGACACCATCACAGTATGTTCCTTTCTCAACCCTGGATACAGTTCAAAAGCAGCTAAAGTGGACAAGAATCTGGGGCAGCCAGAGTTGTACCACCTGCCAAAGCTTGGCACAAACAATCTGGAAGCCAAAAATTGCACATACTAGAGTGAGTCTTGCCCAGATCATGGGGAACTTCTTGTGGGTAAAAATTTTAGATAAAGCTGCAGGGGCCCCAAATTCATCCTAGTCCCACTAACAAGGGCCTAAGCCTTGCAGATCTCTCCAGGTTGGGGAGCTTCTCTCTTCCTGGAACATTGCCCCCATGCCAGGGTGCTATGTCAAACCTGCCTGAACCCTGTCTGGATGTTAAATCCAGGTGGGGTTCAGATGGCATTTAGCCAGCAGACGGAAAGGACTCTGTCTCTGTGAGCAGCCGCCCTTGTCTGCCAGGTATCCAAAGGAGGCTAAATGGAAGTGCAAAGGTCAAACGCTGCAAGTTATAGTCATCCCTCTGTAGCCACAGTGGGGATTGGTTCCAGGATCCCCAGGGGATACGAAAATATGAGAATGCTCAAATCCTTCACATAAAATGGCACAGTATTTCCATAGAACCTACACACCTCCTTCCATATACTTTAAATCATCTCCAGATTACTTATAATACCTAACACAATGTAAACACTATGTAAATAGTTGTCATACTGTATTTTTGTATTTGTATTATTTTTTATTGTTGTATTGTTATTTTAATTTTTTCCAATATTTTTGATCCGTTGTTGTTGGATCCCTGGATGTGGAACCCGCAGATACAGAGAGCCCACTATACGAGAATCTTTGGCTCCTCCTCCCAGTAGATCCCTGGCGAGTGAGATGGGCCCATGTCAAGTGCTCCTTTTGCTTAGGTTAGAGCCTGGAACCAGAGGAGCCTGAATGATCTAACCCAGGATTTCTTGCCTATGGCACCACTGAAAGTGGGGCTGGACAATTCTTTATTGTGGGGGCCATCCCAGTAGGATGTTAGCAGCAACCCTGGCCTCTATCCACTTGAGGCCAGAAGTACCCTCCCTCCAGGAGTGACCCTCCCCCCAGTGTAACCAGAAATGTCTCCAGACATTGCCAAATGTCTCAGGGGTGGTGTGTAGGAGGTGGGGAAATATCTCTGGCTGAGAAGGGGTTAACCCTTTCCCTTTCACCCCAGTCAGCACGTGGGTCTCAGCTGTTCCCTCTCTGGGGGTGAGGCAGGATTGAAAGCACCTCCAAGCATATATTCCACTGCCAAAGCCAGCTAGGTGGCTGGCTTGGCATGTCCTTGCTGTAACATGGAAGGTGGCCAGAGGACAAGGAGAAGAGAGAAAAGGGGTGGCCAGATCGTCTCTCAACATTTTTTGGCTCATGATACTAAACCATGAGGAAGGGCTGGGATGGAGTTGGCCATAGGCATCAGGAGCCTAGGTCTCCCTCTCCTCCCCACTGCACACACGTACACACACACACACAGAGACCTCTGCCACTCTGTGTATTGCCTTTGTTTTCCTTCACTGAAGACAGGCTTTCCCCAGAGATGAAAGAGAGCTTAGGCCAGGAGAAGAAGATCAATAGGTGGGCTGATGTAGACCAAGAGATCGGCAGGGCATGAATAAGAGGTTATGAGTACTGATGAGGGAAGAGAGGAAGGGGTTCATCCTGAGGTCTGGACCAGAAGGGAAGTAAACGAAGCCATGAGGGGCTAGTATATGGGGAGAAGAGGAAGATGTCTGAAGATCAGAGGTCTTCAGTGGGTTGAAAAGTAACAAAGAATGGAGTGGTCCATTGATAGCCTCAACACCTGACCCAGCTCCATCAATATATATTTGTTCTGCTCCAGAGACAAGACCACTTAGACTCATAGAATCACAGGATATTATTAGAGCTTGAAGAAAACTTAAGAGGTGATTGAGTCTGGGCATGGTGGCTCATGCTTGTAATCCTAGCACTCTGGGAGGCTGAGGCAGGCGGATTGTTTGAGTTCAGGAGTTCGAGACCAGTCTGAGCAAGAGCAAGACCCTGTCTCTACTAAAAAAATAGAAAGAAATTAGCTGAACAACTAAAAAAATATATATATAAAATTAGCCGGGCCTGGTGGCTCATGCCTGTAGTCCCAGCTACTCGGGAGGCTGAGGCAGGAGGATCACTTGAGCCCAGGAGGTTGAGGTTGCTGTGAGCTAGGCTGACACCACGGCACTCTAGCCCGGTCAACAGAGTGAGACTCTGTCTCAAAAAAAAAAAAAAAAAAAAGGTGATTGAGACCAACCCACTTTTATTAATTCATCACCAGTACTGGACTTGGAAGGTGATAGTAGTTTACAATCTTTAAGTTTCCTCTGTTCTTGGAATCAAATGAGAAATGAGACACAGAAGTCAAGCAGCTAGAACTTAAAATCAACTTATACCAGATAAAACTGATTAGAGAGTGTTGTTTGGAATATACAATTGGGCTTCCTAATTCTTTACTCCATGAATGAAACTTATCTTCCCAGACTGGAAGACCCCTCTGTCCCACAAGGTGAGAAGCTGCCCTGGGAAGTTCACCAGGAAGAAAGAGGAGAGGAGGGGAGCATGGGCCTGCTCTGGGACAGGCAGTTCCCAGGAGGAGGGAACCCAGCAGATTCAGAGCCATGAAACATGCCCATTTTACTCCCCCTAATCCTCCGAGCACATGAGCCACTTGTCCTCTGCTAGGTAGGATGAGTTAGTAGGTAGAGAAGTAAGTGGAGAGTACTTTTCTCAAGATTTCAGAAAGAACAGAAGTTCTACATTAAAGGGCAAGGTAAAAGTGCTTGGAGGGAGAGAGACAGGTTCCCCCTCACAACAACCATGTAGTAAGTACGAACTCTTCTCCAAGAACCCTGAATCCCAGAGAGGTGAAGTGATTTCCTTGGGGTAACACAGCTCTGGGGATAGAATAAGGTTCTCTAGACTCTTAATGGTGAGGTTTAACATTCACCCATGTAATCACAGCAGGTCAGTTTCATCCAGGGTTATCAGCATAATAGGAACAAGAATCTCCTGCTCCATCATTCAGGAGGACTTCTAACTCCTTCCTCCACTGCCATCGCTCCTCTACATCCTCTGTCTACACCTCACACCCCCATCTCCACCTCACACCCCCATCTCCACCTCACACCCTCATCTACATCTTACACCCCCATCTCCACCTCTCGCACCCCCAACTACACCTCACATCTCCATCTATACTTCACACCTCCATCTATGCCTCACCACCTCTGTCTACACCTTGCCACTTCCATCTACACCTCCACTATCATCCTGCTACTTCTACAACCAACCCCTCTGTCATTTCCTCGTTGTTACTACCGTATCTCCCCTTCTGTCAGCAGGCAGCCCGCAGACATCCTCTCTGGGTGGAGAAGCAAGTGTGGACTAGGAGACCTAGACCTCTCTACGCTAGAGAGGTCTTCAAGGTCTTTGAGGTCAAAATGTCTCCAGCTTTGGTGTCACTTGATCCCCTCAAAAGATCATCCTGGAGCATTTTATGAAAATCGAGGTAGAGATACCTAAAAATAAATACACATGTTTATGCAAACTTGCTGACCACAAGTATAGACTGGAACAATTTCTTAGCCATGCCCTAATCCGACAGCTGCACATCAAGGTACCTGCAAGGTGATAAGATCCTTTACTGGCATCTCCGTGTTCCTCAAAGTTCTAAACAATCTAAAAGTTGGAGACATTCAAGTGAGCTGCAATTTTGAGCCAACTGGGGTTGCTCTAGCATGTAAAAACAGGCCCAGGTCTCTGTGGGCTCCTGGAAATGCCACCACCCCTCTCTGGGCCTTAGTTTTCCCCCATATAAAGTGAGAAACCTTGAGGGTAGGGTTGCATCCTGTAAGTTCTCTTCCAGCTCTAACATCCTTCCAAGACAGAATCCAAAAAGAATTTGGAATAAAAACCATGCAGGGAGATAAAGCAGCATTTCAAAATCAGGCTGGAACACACCACTAACATAAAAAGATCACCAAATTAAAATCCAAGAAGAAATTTAAGCAAAGACATCTGTCTATGATCATGGGCAGCTCTATTCAGACCCTGCTCTACCCTGGTCTGTCAGTCAACCAGGCATTCATCCCTGACCCTGCAGGAGCGTCCCTCCCCCCACCTTGGTCACATGGCTAGCCGCCACTGAGCCCCAGAAGTCAATCTCCAATGCCCCAAATACTGTTCAGCCTGGGAACCACAGAGAACCCTTCTTGCCACCCAACAGGAACAGAGCAGGTGGCTCTGGCCTCCCCCGGATTTGGATCCTGGTTTCCAGTGCTAAGAACACAAAGGTAAGTTTGCAGCTTCAGAGAGAGTAGGCAGAGCTATGCAGACAAGGGAAAATGTGCTTCATGCCACCAGCACAGAGTATTTAAGAGTGAGCTTCTCACACACTGAGGAGAATACCAGGAAAGCAGGTTAAATCCTCCAAATGAGCATTGGATATTTGCTTCCTTTCAAGATTATACTGTTTTTTATCACCATGGTGTCTTGAGTTCACTGGTTTGGGTTGGAAAACCTCACTCCAAATGAACAGAAACAACAGGAGACTTGTTCCATCTGACGCTGTGGTGAGTTAGTTCTATCTTGTCCTCATCTGGTGGAACTGAGAATCTTTCTCTTCTAGGCTTGTAAATTTCTTTTGTCTTTGTCAAATTTGTGAGACTGGCTAAAATATTTATGGAGTAAACAAAAACCCTAAGATGTGCCTCTTCTCCAGAAAACCATGGGAAAATAAATTCCATCTGCTAATGTAACATCTCGGGATAGAAACAGAATAATGGTTAGCCTTCTTGCATTACACATTTTTTGTTTTTAAATTTTGGATACAGTACCTGGTTTTGTTACTGTTAGTTTGCTTAGGAATATTGTGTTTGCTTCTTTTGTCCTTTCTCTCCTGGGGCATGCATGAGTGTTTCAGTCTGCAGGGCCCCGAGGCAATGGACAAGCCACTGGTTGGGAGGGTGGCCTTTCCCTGGTGTCTAGCTTAGCTTTTTAAAGCCCAGCATGACCCTGTGTCATTCTTGTCGATTCAGTTCAAAAAATAATCCCAGATAAGCCCTCAGGGAAGTCCTTTTCTGAAATACTTTGAGCTATCAGAGGGGCTCATCAGACACCATGTTGGCTGGTCTAGAGTTCTTAGGCATCAAGGTCAAATGGTTTAAAAGACAGTGTGGGAGGAAAAGCTCCTAAAAAGCTCACCAATGGATGTGGCATAACCTTTTTTTTCTAGTTATTTTTTCTTCCAGAGACATGGATGTCTGACCTTAAGAATGTATTATCATACTCTGCCCTTCTTCCCTAATAATTAAACTGTTGTGTTCTGTTCCCAGTGTCTCATGCAAATATCTGGAACAAAGTGGGTACTCAGTGAGGATTTGTTGGATTGAACTGACATGCCCTTGTGGATGGGGAGGGGGTGGGTGCCCAAAGGCCAGATGATTCACTAGGGTTTTGATGGCTAAAACGTGCTATACCTCTTTAAGGCGGACTGTATCCCCAATTCCTTGCTGCCTTGGACATGAAGGATGCCTGGGCGGGGAGACCTGAGTATGTTTGCCAGGGTAGCACTCTAGTCCTTGGTCTTACAGGCTTAGAGTGTTGATTTTGTCAGTGGCTGGTGGATTCTCAGGGATCCCAGATGTGATTCCAGGCTGGTGGGAGGGAAGTGAAATGGAAAGGGACCTTCGACTTGGGGCAGACGAGAATTTGGTGTGATCCCCCAGCATGAGGCCACGCATGAGGCCATGCTCGACACCAAGGCGCGCTGTGATCTAGAGACGGGTGGGAGAGTAATGGTGAGCTAGTTGGGCAGGGGAGGGACTAGTGGTAGGAAAAGCTCCTGTTACAAGTTCTTTCATTTGCTGCGTGCAGGGGCTGATGTGTTGCTAGCACAATTCCTTTGACAACATATTGCAGTGGGTGGTTGTACTGGGTGCTACTCTTTGTATGCAATTAACTCAAACCAGGTGAAGGTAACGGAAGAGAAAAGAGGCATTTGTGATAAGGCCATTGGGAGGTCTTGTAAACGGGAATTCAGCCAGACCACAGGAAGGGCCTGAAACCCAGAAGTGAAAGATTGTCAGAAACCCACACCAGACCCCCTCTATCTCCCATGTCTTCACTTCTCTTTCTCTGGCCTCCCTCCTTTCCTCTCCCTCCCTCCCTCCGACCCTTTCTCCCTTCCTCCCTTTCTTCTTTCCTTCCCTCCCTTCCTTCCTTGGGTTTGGGAATCAAAAAGAATACAATTTGAATCCTGGCTCCACTGTGGCTGGCTCTGTGATCCGTGACAAATCACTTAATTCTTAATCTCCATTTCCTCATCTGTAAAATGGGGGTGGAAATTATGTACCTCACTGAATTATAGTGAGGATTAAATGAGAGTATAAAAGCAAAATATTTGACATTCAATTAATATGAATTATATGAAACACTGGAGATAAGGTTAGGTTGGGGACTCTTACGGTGGGCAGTACAGCTGCCGATCAGAGCAGTAGCTAATCCAACACTTCCCCTATGGCAAACACTCGGTTTCATATGGATGGCTTCCTTTGAAGATGATCTGGGGTAGCCTGGGTTCTTCTCCTACTTCTGCATACTCCTGGAAGGGAGCTTCTCTCAAGTTATGAGAAGGTGGGACCAAGCACAGAGGAGGTGATGGGGAGATGGTCTCAACTAGTCCAGAGCTGGGAGGTATGCACCTACCTGAGTATTAGCTACATTGTATCTCCATATTTCTATAGTCTTGTACAGTTCTCATCTCTATTTGCATATATCTTGTCATTTTGTATTAATTTTTATTTGTTTTCTAATCTGAGAATCCACAGTACTTCAAATGTGAAAGAACACATTTTAAAAACATGCTGGAAAATTCTGTTTCATTTGTATTAGTCAGGAACTCTTGATTGCAAACATCAGAAACCCAACTCAAACACGAGAAAAAATAGTTAATTTAACAGCTCAACACAACTGAGAAGGCTGGTTCAGAATTAACTGACTCAGGGAGTCACAGCGTTATCAATACTGTTTCTCTACTTTTCTTGACTGCTTCCCTCCATGTGACAGGCAAAATAGTAACTCCCAAGCTTATCAGTTTAGCAATGCGAGAGTGAGCAGTGCTTTTGCATGAATCAAGCAGAAAGGTCCTGGGAAAAATTCTGATTGGCCGAGCTTTGGACATGGGATAATCCCTGAACCAATCTCTGTGGCTGGGAATGAGGAGCATTTGATTGGCCAGGCTGGGTCACATGGCCTTTCCTGCTTGGGGCTGGGGAGAGGTGGAGTTACCTTAAACCATTAGGAGGTGGTTCCTATGGGAACAGCGATCTGTTACTCGGCTTCTCTGTACTCTTCACACCATGCTGGAGGAGGAAGATAGCAGCTTTTAACATACTGCCACACTAGAAAAAAAATTGTTTTCCTCGGGGCCACGGTATTTTATTACAAAACTAGAATAAAAACTTCGAAAACAAAACGATCCTTTCTAATTTAATGAAAAATTTATTTGTTGTTGTTTTCTGTGCGTGAGTTATTAGTATATGCAACTTGAAAAATAGTTCTCCCAGCTCCCCAGGTGAAGAGATATGTGAGTTACATATGCTTCACGAGGCCTCCAGCTCAAAACTAGCCTGAGTTAAATACAACTCACACGGCAGTTAATGTGTTTAAAAATCACCAAATGACCCAAAGTAATAGGAAATATAAATTGGAAGTTATTTCCTTAAAACGGTGGGTTTTTTTTTTTTAAAACGGCGGTTTTTAAAATGTGGTCCCTGGATCAGCAGCAGCAGCATCAATTGGGAGCTTGTTGGAAATGCAGATTCCCAGGCCCCAGCCCAGATCTACTGACTCAGAACCTTTGGGGCTGGGATCCAGCAACCTGTGTTAACAAGCCCTCCAGGTGACTCTGATGCCTGCTCAAGTTTGAGAACCACCTTAAAGTGCTCTTTGTTTTGTAGGTCTGCTGAGCATTTTAAACATGATTCACTTTGAACAAATAGATTTCACCATTAATTTTCAAGGATACAATTATCACATAGGCCGGGCGCGGTGGCTCACGCCTGTAATCCTAGCACTCTGGGAGGCCGAGGAGGGAGGATCGCTCAAGGTCAGGAGTTCGAGACCAGCCTGAGCAAGAGTGAGACCCCATCTCTACTAAAAATAGAAAGAAATTAGCTGGACAACTAAAAATATATAGAAAAAAATTAGCTGGGCACAGTGGCGCATGCCTGTAGTCCCAGCTGCTGGGAGGCTCAGGCAGGAGGATTGCTTGAGCCCAGGAGTTTGAGGTTGCTGTGAGCTAGGCTGATGCCACGGCACTCTAGCCTGGGCAGCAGAGCGAGACTCTGTCTCTGAAAAAAAAAAAAACATAAAATATGTAAAAACCCTTTGTTGAAATGCTTTACGCTTTCCACAGAACAGAAACTAAAATAGCCTGTTACACAATCAGTCAAAAATACAAGCCTCAAGTTGTTTGCCCACACACATGAATATTGTCTAAAACATGACTTCTTTGTAGCGGCTAGGCCCTGCCACCCCTGTGCTTGGCTGAGTTCACAAATCTGTTGTAACCTGTAGCGTCCCTGTCACTTCTCCGGCTCTCCTCTCCTACTACACTTTGTTTCCTGGCAGTAATTAAAACTTGCCACTGCCATTGCTACTGCTGCTACTGGATCTGCCACAGCCACCTTGGTTTGGCAAAGTATTCGCCTCCACAACCGTAGGGGACAGAGCTTCTGCCTCCAGATTTTCCTCCCTTCATGGGTCCAAAATTTGAAGATTGACTGTTATTATTGCCAGAATCATTGTAGCTTCCTCCACCTCCAAAATTTCTTGCATCATTACCAAATCCATTATAGCCATCCCCACTGCCACCATATCCAGCACCACCACGGCTGCCACCAAAGCCACCATGACCACCGACATGTCCTCCATGATCACCACCATTTCCAGAGCATCTTTGACATCATTGACTGGGTGAAGCACCAGCCATCTCCCGCTTTGACAGGGCTCTCCTTACTTCACAGCTGTGGCCCTTCAGAGGATGGTATTTCTGCATGACGGTCTTGTCCACAGAGTCTTGGTTGTCAAAGGTTACAAAAGCAAAGCCCCTCTTCTCGCCACTGCCTCAGTCAGTCATGATTTCAAATTACTTCAATTTTCCCATACTGTTCAGAATAGTCTCTTAGGTGCTGTTCTTCAGTGTCTTCTTTAATGCCACCAACAAAGATCTTTTTCACAGTTAAGTGGTCTTTGAGAATCTTCTCTGGAGACAGCTCTCTTTGGTTCCACAACTCTTCCATCTACCTAGTGTGACCTCAAATTCTGGGGTCATCTACCTCCTCCACGGTGATGCACGTGACAAACCCAAAGCCCTCAGAGTACTTGGTGCTTGGTTCTCTCATTACCACACAGCCTGTGAGCGTTCCCTGTCACTCAGAATGGCTGCTCAGACCCTCATCAGCTATTTCAAAGCTCAACCCTTCGATGAACAGCTTCCGCAGCTGTCCGGACTCTTCAGGAGACTGACTTAGACATGACAGCAGTAGGAAGAGAGACTTTAACGATGCTTCCTCCACAGCATCCACGGGCAGAAGGGAGTAGGCTAATGAACCAGTCTCTAACTTTATTCTTGACAGAGCTTTGTCCTTTCAAAACAGGCAGACACATCAGGACCATTTCCCAGATCCAGGTTTCTTCTCGGAGCTGTCCTGTCCCGAGGCTGCTCTAAGATGCATGTGCTCCTTGCTCTCTGGGCTGCTGCGTAGTTCTTCTGGGACATTCCTTTGTCAGTGTTTTGTGGTGAATCCCGTTTCCCAGAGTGACATTGCTTTCTTAGTGCTCTTGCATCTGCCTAGAATTCCTCCTTCAATCACTTCCAGAAAAAAGGTGCATAGGAGGTAAATTTTTGAGACATTTTATGGCTGAAAATGTCCTTATTCTACCCTTATCTTTGTTTGATAGCTAGGTTGGGACTGGAATTCTAGGTTGGAAATGAATTTTTCTCACTTTTGGAGGTATGACTCCATTGTCTTGGGGCTTCCTCTGTAGCTATTGAGAAATCTGACACCAATTCTTGTGTCTGATTCTTTGCAGGTGACATTTTTTTTCTTCTGGGGGCTTTTAAGATCTGTTTATCCAGATGTGGATACACTTCATGATGATGTGACTTGGAATTGATTTTTTAAAAATTAATTTTCATGAGCCCCGAGCAAGCCCTTTCAATCAGGAAGTTAAAATCCTTCAGTTCTGGGAAATGTTCTCATGTTATTCCCTTGATAATTTCTCTCCACTATTTTTTTATCTCTGTTTTGGGAACTCCTATAAATTTGATGTTTGGGCTTCCTGGATTGATCCTCTAATTTCCCTGTTTTGTGCTAATTTTTAAAATCTCTTTGTGTATGTGTTCTATTATCTGACATATTCCTTCAACTTTATGTTCCAACTCTTCTACTGAAATTTTTCTTCTAGTGTATTTTTAATTTCCAGGAGTTCTTTCTTATTCTTTGTAAGTTTATAGGTTTCTTTACAGGCTTATAACATTCTGCTGTACTTTTTGTCGTGAATTCAATGTTTTTTCTTGTCTCTGTTATGATTTTCTCTAATTTGGTCTTGAGATCTCTCTCTCTCTGGAGAGTGGCCATAAGCCAAGATATCCACTTCCTAGGAGAGCCATGACCGGGAAGTGAGTTAAGTTCTGGTGTGTTGTTAGGTGAGACACAATGAAAATGTGAAACCAACAGAAGAGATTTATTACTTATAAGTCCCAGAGAAGTTTGAGGTTACTGAGGGAGGATGATAGGAAGGCAGGAGGCAGCAGGGAGCTCAGTCAGTGAGTGGGGAGAGAGGGGGAGATGGAGAGAAAGAGAGAGGACCTGGGGGGATATGTCTTTATTAAGGTCCATGGCATCAGCGTTATCCCTTAGGCTTTCCACAGAGGCTGTGGATTAGCTAGTTTAAAGAAAACACAAGCAAAGGAGAAGCTTGTTAAATGCCTTTGGTGTTGACCATTAGGTTTTATCCTAGTGCTCTTTTCCTCTTTCCCTATTTGTTTTGGTTTCTGTCGTTCTGGTGATTCTTGGCGGGCTGTTCCTATTTTGGAGAGGAGCTACCAAACAGCTGCCACGCAGCCGGGCTGGATTTGTTGATGATAGACTTACAGTGGGCAATTGGATGAAACCTCTGTTGTGTTAGAGGTCCCCCCCCTCTGTTGTGTTAGAGTGTGTGAGCCCTCCAGTCTCCCGCCTGGAGGGCCTGAGCTTCCTTAGTGTTCCAGGAGTCCAACAGGCAGAGGACTGGGGGCAAATGGCCTTTACTTAAATCCTTTGTTTCCTCATCAAAATTATTCCTTTTGCATTCAGCTATCCAGGGGTCTTCTGGTTTAATCTCTCCATCTTCTGGGGTAGGAGGGACATGATGGGAGACAGGAGCCTGAGAGAGAGATCTGAGGATGTAAACAGCTCCTGTGTGTTCAGCCCCACCCTGCGTCCTGGTCTTTGCATGTACCTACTGCCTCTGATTTCCTCTTTTTCCTATTTTTGAGAACCATTTTGCATAAGTAGAACCTATCTAATCCTTGAATGTTAGGATAAAACCTTTTAAAAAGCTATTCTATAATTTCTAATCATGGGCTTAATAGGAAACCATAATGGAAATTTGGTTTATATATGTAAACCACAGAAGTGTAATAAATTTAACTTTTTTTGAAAAAAATAGAGACGGGGTCTCACTGTATTGCCCAGCCTGGTCTCAAACTTCTGGCCTCAAGCAATTCCCACCTCAGCCTCCCAAAGTGCTGGGATTACAAGCATGAGTCACTGCACCCAGCCAACATAATAAATTTCTAAAGGCTTTCCTGTGGCCTAGTACATATACTCTCTTTGTAAATATTCTATTTGTACTTGAAAGAGAGGTGTGCTCTCTATTTTTTGGAAATTATATATACATACACACACATATACATAATTCTTCAATTTATTTCTATGTCCTTTTACCTTAATTTTTTTCATCTGTATTAAGGTCTCCCATTATGATTGCGGATTTGATCATCTGTCCTTGAAATCCTACCCTTTTTAACGTACACATTTTGAGGCTGTTCGTCTTTTACTTTCTAGTGATGAAGGTGAAGGAGGAGAAGGCTGGGGTGGGAAAGCTGGACCCTACTAACTACAGGAGGAGGTACCTGGATCAGAAAGGTAAGGTCACTTTGAGGACTTGATGCAAATCCCAGAAAGGACTGAAAATTCTTTGGGGGTCCTTAAAACAGCCTTACTAGCTGGAGAATTTGGGGAGCTGGTCCCTTTTCCTGACTCACCCACAGTGTCCCCTCAAAGCTTCATTGTATCCTAAAACGACCATGTGGTCAGGCTGTAGACAGGAAATTGTCACTTTGTCTGTGTGGTTTAAGACATAACTTCCCCAAAACAAAATTAAACTCACTTAATTTTACAAAATCTACAAACCATAATAAATGCTAAATATCAACATTTTATAGATTCTGAAACTGGCAGCCCAGTTCAAATCAGTGCAAGAGGGTATTGAGGGCCAGGCACGGTGGCTCACACCTGTAATCCTAGCACTCTGGGAGGTTGAGGCAG